ATCTAATACACAAGTTGCAAAACAGCCCCCACTTCAGGCACAGTTCTCACTTTCTGTGCAGTCAGAGATGAGCGCAGCAGAACTGGTGCTGTTCACATTGTGCTGAAAAAAGAAAAAATTAAATCTTTGTGACTGTACTGGACCTCTTTCTTTTTTTTTTTTTCCCTCCCCCAGTTCTGGGAGGTGATAAGTGATGAACACGGGATCGACATCACTGGGAACTACTGCGGGGACGCATCACTGCAGCTGGAGCGAATCAACGTGTACTTCAACGAGGCTTACTGTAAGTGCTCAGCACTGGGGGGGGGGCAGAAAACTGCAGAGCCAACAGGAACGTTAACATAAGTCATTTAAAAAAATGAAAAAAGCTCCAAATCACTATAGGTGTATTGGATTTTTTCAGAGTAGATTTTAAGCCTGTCTTTTTGACTTCTAATACTAATAGTTTGCATTCGTTTTCTCTTGTCCTAGCCCATAAGTATGTGCCCCGCTCTATCTTGGTGGACCTGGAGCCTGGTACAATGGACAGTGTACGGTCCAGCAAAATAGGCCCCCTCTTTCGACCTGATAATTTTATTCATGGTATGTACAGTGTGCTATCAGCAAACTAACTAGAGGCAACTGTCCCAAACTCCCATCTTTGTAGCCTTTAAAAATCCCCTCCTTAACTTTGTGGCTGTTCTTCCTGTCATTCTCTTTACAGGTAATTCGGGCGCTGGAAACAACTGGGCTAAGGGCCATTACACAGAAGGTGCTGAACTGATTGAAAACGTCATGGATGTGGTCAGGAATGAGTGTGAGAGCTGTGACTGCCTTCAGGGATTCCAGCTCATCCACTCGCTTGGTGGTGGCACAGGCTCAGGTATGGGTACACTCCTCATCAACAAAATCAGAGAAGAATACCCTGACAGGATTATGAACACTTTCAGCGTTGTGCCTTCACCCAAAGTATCTGACACAGTCGTGGAGCCATATAATGCCATCCTCTCCATCCACCAGCTAATAGAGAATACAGATGAGACCTTTTGCATTGACAATGAAGCGCTGTACGACATCTGTTTTAGAACTTTAAAGCTCACCAATCCCACCTATGGTGACCTCAACCACTTAGTGTCCCTCACGATGAGCGGAGTCACAACCTCGCTGCGTTTCCCTGGCCAGCTGAACGCAGACCTGAGGAAGCTGGCTGTTAACATGGTGCCCTTCCCTCGCCTGCATTTCTTCATGCCGGGCTTTGCCCCGCTGACAGCTCGAGGCAGCCAGCAGTACAGAGCCCTCTCGGTGCCAGAGCTCACCCAGCAGATGTTTGACGCGCGCAACATGATGGCCGCCTGCGACCCCCGCCGCGGGCGCTACCTGACCGTGGCCTGCATCTTCCGAGGCAGGATGTCTACCAGAGAGGTGGACGAGCAGCTGCTGGCCGTCCAGACCAAGAACAGCTCCTACTTTGTGGAGTGGATCCCCAACAACGTCAAAGTGGCCGTGTGCGACATACCGCCGCGGGGCCTGAAGATGGCGGCCACCTTCATCGGCAACAACACTGCCATCCAGGAGCTCTTCATCAGGGTTTCTGAACAGTTCTCGGCCATGTTCAGAAGAAAAGCATTTCTCCATTGGTATACCGGTGAAGGGATGGATGAGATGGAGTTCTCTGAAGCAGAAGGTAACACCAATGACCTTGTGTCCGAGTACCAGCAGTACCAGGATGCCACTGCAGATGTTGAGGAATATGAAGAGGTTGAAGTAGAAGCCAGCCCAGAAAAGGAAGCGCTGTAAACACAATGGTAACAGCAAATACTCTTTGAATAAGCCTGCAAAAGGAAAAGCAGCAGCCGTCATCTGCTACGGAAAATGACACCGTTCTTAAGAATTTTTTCTCTGCATCTGGCCAAAATATATCCAATATTACAAAACAATGCTTTTGAAATTAATGGCAGCTTTTGAAATTAATGGCAGCTCCAAAACAACTGTTGACACCGAATCTCTTCCAAGAAGGAGCCACTATGAAGACAAATAACCTCGTAACAGCCTTTCTTGTAGCAGAATATTAGAATATTCTTTTTATACACTTTTAATACACTTTTAGAATATTACCAGAGAATGAACGTAGCATACAGCGTCTGTGTCTGTGTGTATGAGTCAGGATGTGACGCAACAACAAAATATCGGAGCAGGAAATTTATTTATTCTTGACTGAACAGCCCATGTTTGTTTGTGAACTTGTCACTGTCAGGGATACGTGCACAGCTCTGAGGCCTGTGAAGGCTGCACTGAGTTTATCACACACTCCACAGACTGATCCAGAATTGCTGACAAGGTCAGTTCCTTAAGTCACAGGGCCATGGTGGAACAACATGAGGCAAAACACTGAATATGCACATTCTTAATTATTTTTTTTTTAAAAAAAGTACTTTAATAGTTCTATCACATTACTCACTTATATTGTTGCAGAGCTTCTCTTTGTTATCATGGTGTGGTTTGTTTCTATTTCAAGCTATAGATTGTGTTTTGTTAGCATACAAAGTTCTGAATGCTGTGTGAAAGTTGTGGTGTGGTTTTGTCCCCCCCCCATGTACTAACTACTGTAAATTTTCTTCCTATCACTCAGTGCAGCAAAATGGATAGAATGGTTTGCAGGTAGCTACACAGAAGTTCAACAGCAATCACTAAATCAAAAACCTATCTTGACTCCAGGAAAAAAATGTTTCTTGCCATTCACAGCCATCTATATAACACTGTATTTATAATATTGTTTAAAATAAAAATGATATAAAATTTCTATAAAATAAAAATTATGTATTAGTCTATAAAATAATACTTTAACCATTTGCCACTTCTGTGCAGTGGGACAACTTGGGCATGCTGTGAAGACAGAGCAGCAGGAACGTGCAGACCCCTCCCCAGAGCAGTGCAGGGGGCAGTATGACTCCCCCCCCGCTGGGAGCAGACAGACAGAGCATTGCCCTTGCCCAGGGAACAAGTGTCCCACTCCCCCCAGTAAAGCAACCCAGTGGGAACGCTGGTCAGGGACTCCTCCTCCTCTTACAGCCTCCCAGGTCTCCATCACTGCTCAGTATTCCAGATTTGGAGATTAGATCCTGTGCAGCACATCCATGGGGAGATATCCTGCTTCCAGCTCATGCCTCTTCAGGCCTCAGCAAGCTGACTGTCACGAGGTTAGCTTTGCTCTAAGCACAGATGGAAAGTGAACACCATGATGACAGAATTTAAAACTCAACAGCGTCCCACTTCCAGCAGAGCACAGACAGAGGTATTTTTAATTACTGAAATAATACGCCTAGATTAAAAAAATCTTAAAAATCAACCTGTGTTGCTACTGAATGGTAGGCTGTGATAAAAGCAGTATTCTGTTCTCCCATAAGTGAAAGGTAAATGTCTGTGCACAATGGAGCACTTTGTTTCAAGAGGAGCAACACTTTCCACACATTTGTTTCACAGAAATGACATTTATTAGCATGCTGATTTACACATAGAGGCAAGTTCTACAGTTAATGTCATGACATTATATTGTAGAGTCTTGTCTTGCCTACAGCTTTGCAGTTATTCATCACAGATCAGCTCCTGTGAGAGATTTAAAATACAAGTTATTCAAATGAAGAATATGTTCAAGGTATACATTAAAAAACAGGTAGTAATAATTAATCTCAGCTCAGGAATGGAAACTGTTCCACCTGGAATAAATCCCAGCTGCTCGTGATGGATGCAGTGTCACAAACAACGACACCAGCAGCACCTGCCTTTCACAGGCAGCAAACAAAGCCTGCAGAAGTAAGTGTACCGACAGGGGAAGCAGCAGTTCTGAGCTGTCTGTTGGCTTAGAAACGCGAGAGGAGACCTACACACACCACCACAGGAACCCAGACGTTCTGCACGAGACAGAACATCTCACATAACTAACACGATTAAGCAGCTTCCCATCCCCCGTGCAGGCAGGACGCAGGCATCTCACGCATTCACACTAAAGCGGGCAGCACCCGAGCTGATTCCCACACACGGCGCGGTACGAGCCGAGCACGGTCGGTACGGACGGTCATTAACCCGGCTCACAAGCAGCGCTCCCGCAGCGAGGCGCCCCAGGCCACTCTATCTCTCACCTTTCATTCCTTCTTGGGCTTCACCGTTTTCACCGTGGCCGCTGCCGCCCTCTCTGCCTCCGCTTTGTACTGAGGCTTCATCGCCGCTCTCACGGCCTGGGCGCAGATCTGGGAGTACCGGATGTAGCTACAGAGAGGGGAGAGAAGGGGGGGAGGGGCAGGTGAGA